TGCACGCTGCGGTGTGTAGCGGGGCCTGTTCCTGCCTCCCAGAGCCGGCGTGCCTTGGAATTAAAGGCGGCTGGCCGCTCCGGGCCCAGCCGCAGTGCATGCAGATGTGGCCGTGGACCCTTCCTGCCTCGGGCGTTCCGGAGCCACTGCTCTGCATTCTGATCACCTCGCCTGGCACGAGAATCCTCCTGCGCTGCTCTGTCCCTGAGTTCAGGACTGGCCGGGCTCTGGGGTGACATCTAACACAAGACCCCATGTTCAGGATTTTGGGGGTGGCATTATAATTGGTCAACCTCTATGTTTTTTCCTGGGGAGCCTCCAATTCTCTAGGAAAATGGCTCCTGCCAGAGCATAGAAATTGCCCTATTAGCATTTGGGCTTTTTCTAATGCTGCTACCGTGGTGTTTTAGTATGCAGATTTTTTCATTATTTAAGAGTTGTGCTGGCTAGTGCCTTCTTTTACTTTCCTGTCACACCTTGCTTGTCAAAATTGAACCGTTTGAATTGAAAACCCCTTTGAATGGGGCTCGGGCGTCCAGAGGATGGGGGGACGGGGCTGGGGCGAGGCTGCAGGACGGGCGACGGCAGGCCGGTCTTGAGGCCCGAGACTTGGTCATGGCAGGGAGCAGTGAGGAAGGACGCAAAGAAGGCAGAGAGGGAGGGGTGAACGAGACAGGTGAGCTGGCCAGGACACCTCTAGGGACATTTGCCCCAAGGCCGGAGCTGTTCGCTCTTCCCCGGCCTTTCATTCTGCGTGGGCACCGCGGAGCCCACGGGAGTTGGTGCCCGTGGCCAGAGGAAGTCCAAGCTCTGCCAACACATGGTTCTCTGGAATGGGGCCAGGGCCGAGGTTGGGCTCACCTCCCAGGGCTGACACCATCTGCCTTGGTCCTTCAGGGCCACTGCCTGCCTCTTGTCCCCCAGGCTTTGGAGTGCTGAGTATAGGGGGTATGGGATCCCCACAAAATATGCCAAGGGGGTGCTGGCTGCTGTAATGAAACTGTATTTGTTTTTAACCTGATTTTGCCAACAATTGCATTGTTTGTTTGGAGACCCTAAAATACAGGGCACGGAAATGGTAGAAACACAATTATGTTACATAATAACAGCAGAGTATCTTTCCTTTTAAGAGCTGTATTCACTATGGTTTGTTCAAGAACCATTTTCTTTATTATTATTTTTTTTTTTTAAAAAACATACATTAAAGTATTTAAAAAGTACATAGGCATGAAGAAGAAAACAAAGAATGGGCTATGATTTTCTTGCCCAGAGAATTAAGAGTCCTGCAAGGAGAGAGAGAGAGAGATAGAGGAAGGAAGGGAGACAAGGAGGGAGGAAAATGACATGCATAAAATCAGAAAATGTATACAGTACAGAAAGATGCAAATAGTTTACTTCTGAGAGAGAAATAAGCCAGGTCCTTAAGTCTCTAGAGCCCATTGAGGCTCACCAGGTCAGAATGCAAATGAGGAATGCACTGTTCTTTTTAAAATCAGTAAACTTGGTGAAGAACATTCCTTTTAACGGTTAAATGACATTTTTTTCCTATACTTTTTTCCCCTTTCAAACTTCTACTTTGGATGCATTACACCTTTTGGAGCCTCGAAACTAAAAATGACTTTCCTATTGATGTCTCCGTCCCTCACAAGGCATGAGGGTGCTTTTCTCCATCTGAATTCTCAAACAGACGCTGGTTCCAGCTCCTGGGCCTTTGGACAGTGGCTACCTTCTCATTTTTTGCTTTTTGCCTCTTCTAACAAGGAACACACAAATGACGACTTTATGATATTATTGTGCAGAAGAAAAAAAGAGCAAAATAAATGCTGCTGTGTTACTTGGAAAATATTAATAGCAAGGGTTAATTAATGGTGGCCGTGGCTTTTGTTCCTTAGCTTCCAGTACAGAAAGAAAGAATTTGGAAAATGGTTCCTTTTTCTATTTTGTTTGTTTGTTTTCTCATTACACCATTAATCTCCATAAACAAGGCATGTTTTTAGTTACAGATCGACTAGAAAAAAATGCATATGCTAAGCCAGATGGGTGAAATTAACAGTTTCATTAAACTGACTTTAAAATCGCCAGTTTCACAATATCACCCAAGACATCATGCCTCTGATTTTGGGAGACAGTTGGAATTCAAAGTTTAACAAATATGTGAAACAAGCAGTTTTACCTTAGAATTATTATTTTTTTGCTGTATTCAATGGTACCGAAAATGGTTTAGATTTTTTTTTTTTTTTGCAGAGAAAATACTGATTGGTAATATCTTGGGGGGGAGTTTAGAATTTTAATGTACAAAAGAAATAATGAAGCCCTTTCGACCTGCCTATATTTCAATCTGCAAAGTTTTTTGTGCTGAGGATTTGAGCTTTGTGAAGGATTCTCCTTTTGCTCCTTATTCTCCAGCTACCCGAGCGCTCCTGCTAATGATTTCTGGGGTTCTGTGCCGGGGGTCGGCAGGGCAAGTGTTTCATTTGAAGCTTCATTTGGTTTGGAGTCTCTTCCCTCCTCTGAGCCCACAAAGCTGGGGTCCGTGGGTACTCGGGCAAAACTCATCACCGTCAGGCATTTGGCAGAGCAGGTGAGGCGGGGATGAATGGTTAACAAATGTTAATGTTGCTTTGCTGCGAATGTGCACAGAGGGGCATCTGAGATGAGCACATATTTAAAAGTAAATATATGAATAAGTAGCGGCAGAATTTGTTTTGCAACTCTGAGTGCTGCAGTGCATACTGAATCCAGTGGAGAAGGTTCTGATCATGGCTAATGGTTAGGTGGGATGGAATTCTTCTCTCAGCTGTGCAAAGAGAAAATCCAAAACGAGATCCCCAGGCTCCTAGTGTTATCATTCAAATATCATCCCAACAGATGAACGGGGGAAACATTCAAGAATGTTCATTGCCGTGTTGTTGGTTATAGCAAAACCACTGGAAACAACCCAAGAGTCTAAAAATAAGAGAACTGGTTGGGAAAATGGCACAGCTATAGAATGCGAGACTATGGAAGCATGAGAAGGAATGCACTTCTGACAGCCACAGAGAGATAGTCATAACATGTAGTACATTTAAAAAAGAAAGTTGAGAGTCAGAATCTATAATTGCATATTATTTGCGAAGAAGACATGTATGCATATACATCAATAGATGTGCATATGAATAATCGAATATACAAAGGAAAAGTCTCAAAGCTTACACACCAATCTTTTAACAGTTTCTAGCTTCACTATTAAAGAAAGATTGTGGGAGAGGAGACTTCTGTTTTTATTTTATACAAATCTGCATTGTTTGATTTGTTTTTTTAAAGCCGCTGTTGCTTTAGGGAGTAAATAAAAAAATACAAGAAAAAGAGCAAACTCTATTTGTTCAGTAAGGCGATTTTTTTTTTTTTTTAGCACCTACTGTGCCAGGTACTTGGGATCAAAGGAACAAAAGCAGACTCAGCTAGCGGGTGAGGAGTTCCAGGAGCCAGTAGATGGAAGGTTCCTTGGAGGCCGGCAGAGGTGGGGGACAGGCCCCCTTCCCACGGCTCAGGGGTCTGTAAGGGCAGGCACAGTGTCCCCCTCGCAGGGACATTCAGCCCATGTGCCCACAGGACCAGTCCCAGCTCACAAACGTGTCAGCTTTCACAGTTTCAGCTGTGGATCCTTCTTGTCTGCATCTCCATTTGCCCTTAAATAAATCCATCCCCAGCCTTTCTACTTTGGAAACTTGTCTCTGTTCCTTCCTGATGAAGTGCTGATAAAAGTGAGTCTGTTACTGCTTCCTGAGTTTTTTTTTTTTTTAATAACATTTTTATTTTGTACAGAATGAACAAAATCAAAGAAAAACGTTGCACATAACAGTTTCTAGGCAGGTGAAGTTTGAGTCTTAAGTTGACATTTAACTTAACATTTAAATTGACATTATTTACATTTAGCTTAAGTCTTAAGTTAAATATAAATAGTATCTTTGCAATCCTACATGGTCTTTTGTAGCACAGCATCTAGACTGTGCCTTGCATGTAATAGAAAGTAAACAGTCGATTGCTGAATTAATAAACAAGAGAGATGAATAGTAAAGACAGGCTTTAAAAGTCTCTAACAGTTACATTTAGGGCCATAAAACTTGCTCGTTTGGGTGTAAATGTTGATGAGCTTATAGATATATGGGAGGATTAAGTAAAAGGAAGCACTGTATAGCTTAAAGCAGTTGTGTAAACAAGTCTTTATCCATGGTTGTAAGGTCCTTGTTAAGACAACTGACTACCTCATCACCTGTTCATCAAGGGTTAAGTGCAGTAGGGTCACTGGACTCTGGCTTTAGTGACCTGGAAGCTGGGCCCAGCCTCTTGCCAGCCTCTGTAACTTTAGACCAGGCCTCAATCTCCTCCAGGCCTCAATCTCCTTGTGTGAAAAATGGGGATGATTTTAATAGTACCTATGTTATAAAACTGTACAAATTAAATGACATGATTTATGTGAGACACATAACCCAGTATTTGGCATATTATAAGCTCTCAATAAAAGTTGACTTATTCTTTTTCTTATATTTAGATACCCATGTGAAAAAACTGGAGGCAAAAGATGTTAAGAAAGCATCTAAAAATAAAGTTCTTTCGCCCAACTTTTTAGAGCAGCACCTAGGAACTATTTCTGAGATAAAACATTTTTCTTTAGAGAGTCTTAGAGGGAAAAAAAAAGTCTCTCTGGAAGTTTCCATGGTCCTGATTTGGTGGTTACACTGAGTAAATTACTCTCTTGAGGCACTCCCTCAGCTACATACAGCACATCCTTTTTCCCAAGATACAGGCTGTCATTTAGTGCCAAAGAAAAAGCTATTTACAGAATGACACCCTGGCATCCTCAAAAGGTTTAATTTACCTCCCTGGATGGTGGTATATTTCAAGGCACTGCAGGGCCAACCATATCAATAACTCAGGTGATTCAATTGACTTTTCCTTTTTCTAAAGCCACGTCAGTCCCATGGTAATTGATTGTGTGTTCTCAATTGGATTATTTACAGCGGCAAGGAACCAAAATGAATCTGTATCAGAAATCGGTGGGAGGATATTTGAAAAGGCTATAAAGAGACTCTCTAGCGTCGATGGGCTTCACCAAATTAGCTCCATCGTCCCCTTTCTGATGGATTCCAGCTGCTGTGGATACCATAAAGCATCCTACTACCTCGCAGTCTTTTATGAAACTGGATTAAGTGTTCCTCAGGATCAGCTGCAGGTAGAGTATATCACGGGCTCCTGAAGCATCCATCACCTGTGTTATATTTGCAGAGCAAATGCTCCCATGCCCCTGGGTGGAACTGGACATGTTGCAGCTCCTCGGAGTCCTAAAATCTTCACACTCGAGCGACGTCCTCGGGCTGTGTTGAATATAGGATTCCCCAGCTTCCAGGGAGGAGAAAAGAGTACTTCATTTCCGGACATGGCCTTGGGGGTCTAACTGGCATACCACCTAGAAACGGTTGGGGTAGGGCTTGCCAGCACCCCAATCCTTCTAGAACAGGTGCCTGTTACCTAATTCTTGTGACTGCTCTGGCTGCGAAGCCATTATCCCATATTCCTTTTTAGCTAAATGAAGTCATCTGGACTTCTAAGCGAAGTATTGTTACATCCAGGAGTCTACCATCAAAACAAATGCCATACCAGACGGTTTCGTTTTTGGTTTTGAATCCAAATTTATTATGCAACGTGCCTAACATTTAGAATCACATTTTCATAAGTGTATTAGTCAGGTTTCTCCAGAGAAACAGAACCAATGGGATTATATATATAGGCAGAGATTTATTGTGAAGAATTGGCTCGTGCAGTTCTGGAGGCTGAGAAGTCCCACGGTCTGCAGTGTGTGCAAGGGAGGGCCGGGAAAGCCAGTGGTGTAGTTCTAGCCCCAGTCTGAAGGCTTCAGTATCAGGGGAGCCAGTGTCGTGACTCCCAGTCCCAGGGCAGGAAAAGATGGATGTCCCAGCTCAAGTAGGCAGCAGGAAGCAACCAGAGAGCAATTCCTCCTCCCTCTGTCTTTTTGTCCCACTTAGGCCCCCAGAGGATTGGATGAAGCCCACGGGCATTGGAGAAGGCATTCTCCTATGCTCACTTCACCAGTTCCAATGCCAATCTCATTGGAAACACCCGTGGACACACCCAGAAATAATATTTTATCTGGGTGCCTGATGGCAAGTCAAGTTGGCACGTAAAATTAGCCATCACAATAAGTACTACTGAATGTTCCATGATTGGTTGTACGTCTCAGATTTGCAAGGATAAACCAGGATTGTTTATCTTTGGTGTGGGGAGACTCAGACTGTTTAGCTGCACCCCAGTGGCTCCATGTTCCTTTTTAGAGGTTTGTTTGTGATGTCTCTGGTCTGTTAGATGCTCTTGAATGATGGCATGTTTTACTGAGTCCCTGAAGCAGTCCCCTTGAAGGTGGAATAGTGAGAAAATTCTAGCCTTGTCTCTGCCACAAAGGGGCTGGTGGACCCATGGGCAAATGACTTCACCTTTCTGGGCCCCTATTTTCTCAAATATGAAATGAAGATGTTGGCCCAGTCAATCTCTAAAGACCCTTCTGGCATTAACATTCTGAGAGCGTGAGATTGGGACATGGACCCACTCTTCAAATCCTGTGTCCACAGAGGATGTGGCTGAAGCAGAACTGGGATCCTTAGAACAGTTGGCTGATAAAAGGATGCTGCGAAACAGGTCAAGAAAGAGTCCCATTTTTACCAAGACAAGCCAAAAGTCAGGGCATTTTACACCATTAGACATCACGAAGGACAGATAGCTGGGAATTTGGAAACCATTAGAAATCTGGGTTGGCTTTTTTCCTGAAGATTTGTTGTTTTTTTTAAAAAAAATTTTCATTTTTAATTATTATGGGTACTAATAATTGTATATTGTTATAGGTTACGTATGATGTTTTGATACAGGCATACAATGTGAATTAATCAAATCAAGGTAATTAGGGGGTATCCATCACCTCAGGCATTTATCATTTCTTTGTGTTAGGAACATTCTAATTCTACTCTCTTAGTTATTTTAAAGTATACCCTAACTTATTGTTGATTATAGTCATTTTGTTGTGCTATCAAGTATTACTCATTCAAAAGATATTGTTTGTTAAAAAAAGGCAATTTAACATATTTCTGGAAAGGCTAGGATTATATATAGGAGCTGGGCCAGATGACCTTTCAGTGTTAGGGTTGTAGGATCCTATCTGCAATCTTGTGAACACTATGTCAATTTCTTCCTAACAGGGCATGTTGTATAGTTTGGTTGGAGGCCAGGGCAGTGAGAGGCTGTCTTCAATGAATCTCGGGTACAAACACTATCAGGGTATTGACAGCTACCCCCTGGACTGGGAACTGTCATACGCCTACTACAGCAACATTGCCACGAAGACACCCCTTGACCAGCACACGCTACAAGGAGATCAGGTAAGAGAGAGAGAGAGAAAAGGGTAGACATGGTTATGGCCCTGTCTACAGGGCTTCCGGAACAGCTGTGTGAAGCGTCTGCACCTGTGGCTGGTTTAGCCCTTGGCCTTCAGAGGATGAACATAAATCGAATGGAGAGAAAGGCTTTTCTGTACTCTCCAATTCGTATTTCCTGTAGGCTGAACACAGGTACGGTCCCACATCTATGCATGAAAAGCTTCTCATTAGTGAGAGCACTGGTATTCGAAGAGTAGATTTAGCCTTAGACGGATTTTAATTTTACAAAACGTGTGTGCCAGAAACTAGGCATCTTGTCCTTGTTCTAAGAGCGTGTGAGATGGTAGGGCCTGGAGATGTGAGGTGGGTGGAGGCAGCGAGCTCCGAGGGCTCCCGTCAATACCCGATGAGCAAGCAGCGTCCACAGTATACAGAAGCAAGCTTCATGCCCAGCTAGGTGCCCACGGCCGGGCACTTGAGAAATGTCTGGCCCCACTCTGTGAGCCGTGCTCTCAGGTGACTGACAATGGCCTTGATGTTTGAAGACTCTGCCCCATCCCAGATGAAGGACTGAATTGAGGGCACTAACTCCAGCCCCTGGTTTTGCCGGCTCCCAAATCTTAATGACTCATTGGACAAAGAAATCAGTGGCTCACATCTGCTAAAAAGCCGTAACATGTTACATTAGACCAGCTGGTGGTTTGTTTTCAGACTTCTGAGGACAGGGAATAAAAGGATCTCACTAAAGGTGATTGTGTAAGAATCAAAGGGAAGCTGCCTCTTGGTGGTGCAGATCTGCGTGGAGGGCAGTAGACAATGAAGTGATTGGCATCTTAGAATGTGTTATATATCCTCTTTCTCCAGGAACAGTTTTCATGGTTGTAGCATTTGAAGTGGTGGAGTTGAGAAGTGCAAATAGTCTCTGTCAGGAGTCAGCAATATTTTTTCTATAAAGGGCTACATGGTAAATATTTTAAGCTTTGCCTAGGCAGTCTTTGTTGCAAACACTCAACTCTCCATAGGCAATATGTAAACACATCAGATAGCTGAGTTGTGCAGCCATAGACAGTATATAACTGTGTGGCCAGATTTGGCCCCAGTCTCTGCCATAAACTCTTGGCTTTCCCCTGCTTGGTGAGCAGGCCTGAGGGGTAGGCCTGGCTCGGTTGGGATTCTTGAATGTTTGGCTGAGCAGTTAACCGGGAACCAGCCCGCTGCTCCCCAGCTCTGCTCCTGGATTGGGCTCAGAAACCGACAGTGCAGGAAATTTACACTTTGATGTTTGGGAATGGATCATTTCTGGAAAAGAAATCTACAGTGGCTGCCGTAGGGTAGTGAAATAAATGACTCCAAGATATGTGCTGTCAGTGAACGTCACACACGAGTCGAGCTGTAACACACCAAAAGACTGTCTGTATCGGCGTTTTAACTGCTTTAGAAAATAATGATTCCTTCTGAATACACTTGCCCTTATAATTTGTACATGCATTTGCTCAATCTATAAAAGCTATGTGTAAAATTGATCTCAATTTGCAGGAATCAATTAATTTACTAATCGGTAACATTTTTTTTAAAAAAAGAACTGTCCTGAAAAACATTTGCAGAAAATCAAGCCACAAATTAATAATCACTGTTGTTTTTCTACTCAGCCCGAATGTGTTAATAATGTCCTATATGTATATATGATACTTTTAAGAGTTCGAATTCAGCATAAATTAGCAATGGGAAATGGTATGTTGCTAACAAGCTCCCTTTCTTTTGAAGATTTGGCATATGAAATGTTATGATTATGAAAGAAAACGTTTAATTGGTCAGAACCAGAGGAGATGAATAGAAAAGATCCATCTTGCAGCTGAAAGTCGTCTGATTAAGAATCACAGATAGGAATTATACAGTTAGAAGAGTTGTGTCATAGCTCATTTTCTTAAGAATGTGTAATTAATGGCTTTTTGAGAATTTAAGCAGGTGTCATACTTTGATTTAAATGTCCTTTTGTTGAGAAATCTATTAATTCATCAACATAATGTAGCAAATGAGGAGATACAGAAAGGCAGACCCCTAATTAACAAACCAAGGATCCATCAATAACTCCTTTCTTGATTCTTGATTCTTGTTTCATTTTCTCTTTTATGTAACTCGTGGTTCACATCATTTCATCTTCTTTATTAATAATCTTTCTTCTTGTCATTTCTTTATGATTTAGTAGGACTCTGCTTCAGGTTAAACAGAGAGAAGATGGCTAGTGTTTCTGTTTGTTTTTGTGGCTTATTGCAAACGATTAAGCCTCTCATTCTGCCCACTCCTTAGCAGTTGCTCTTCCTCAAGGTCTGGTGCCTTGCCTTCCATTCTCTTTCTATGTCTTCTGGGAGGGGGCAGGGATCTCCTCCAGACTCTTGGATTCAGCTGCCCTCCACACACTGGTGATACTCAGACCCTTCTCTCTGGCTGAAGTTTTTCTTACAAATCTCCATCTTCAATCGTGACGTCCTACAAAGGGACCGCATCATCTCCTTCTCTCTCTTTCCTGCAAACGCCTCAACTGATGACACCATCGTCTGTCCTAGGAACTGGGGAGTCACCTTTGGTCCCCCGTCATCCTATCCATTCACAGCCCCCAACAACTCTCCGTGCCAATTTCTCTCTCCCCCCATCCCACCCCTACCGCCACTGCCTAGAGTCATCCTTCATCATCTCTCCCCTGAGCGGCTGCTGCCGCCTCCTCCTACGGGCTGAGTTACGTCCCCTAAAGATTCACGTGGGGGTCCCCATCCCCAGTATCTCGGAATGTGACCATCCTTGGAAATGAGATCTTCCAAGAGGTGATTAAGTTAAAATGAGGCTGTTAGGGCAGGGCCCTCATCCAGCACTGCTGTCCCTATAAGAAGAGGAGATTAGGACACAGACAATGCAGAGGGATGACCACGTGAGGATGCAGAAAGAAGGTGGCCACCTGCAAGCCATGGAGAGAGGTCTTAGAAGAAACCCACCCTGCCAGCACCTTGATCTTGAACTTCCGGTCTCCAAGACTGTGAGAAAATAAATGTCTAAGGTACCCAGGCTGTGGAACTCGGGTAAGGCAACCCCAGCAGCCCGAGACCCCTCCTGATGCTCTGTTGCTCTGTCACCAGTCTTGTCCCTTCCATTGTCTTCTCGCTGGGCCATTGACGCGGGCTGCTGTCAGAATCCCCCGGGGCTTACAGAGTGTCTCTGCACAGGCTTCACCGTGGCGGGCCTGACAGAAGTGACGTGGGGTGGGGCCTAGGCACGCGTGTGTAATATGTGGACATGTATACACGTGTATTTTAAAAGCTCCTCAGAGGACTGTAACGTGCAGCCAGGGTTAAGTGCCCGCCCAGAAAAATAAGTCTAGCTCAGCGCGTGCCATGCGGGGCGCTCCTTGATCTGGTTTCTTTCTCCACGCCCACGCCCCCTTCCCCACTGACCCCTCCTGCTCAGATGTCACCTCCCGGGAAGCCTCCCTGGATCTCTCCCTGCTGTGCCATCATAACACCTGGGCACGCCCCGCCATTGCTCCTGTGCTGGGGGCTGTGTGCAGGCTCACGGAGCGGGCGGCCCGAGACTGCGGGCTCCTCGGTGACCCCAGTGCCCAGCGCCGTGCTTGACACGGAGCCAGCGCTGGCGTTCACCGATGGGGTGATGGCTAGGATGTGAGCGCGGAGTTTCCCCAGGGACGAACACCAGTGACTGCAGCGTCTTGTCAGTGTGACCCAAGTGTTGCAGTAGCTCTAGACATTGGGCTCTGGTGACCTGGCCAGCAGGTTCTATTCCTGCTTCTGAGCTGCTCATTCGAGAGAGGTCAATTTTGCAAAATGGCAACAGAAGAGCCCCTGGAAGCCATGGAAGATCCCAGAACTGGTCAGTCTGGGCCTCTCAGTTCCTGCCAGCGTCCACCTGACTCTGTCCCCACCCCCCAACTCGCCCCCAGTGTTTCTTCTCCACACCACAGTTTCTCCCCGGCTTTTCCTGGTCACAGAATGTTGTGTGAGTGAATGGACAGTTGAACAGCTGTTCTTTTTAAAGGCCGTTCCTTGTGCAGATGTCTTTGTGGGCGGTCTGCTCTCAAAGAAGGCCTCAGGAGTGTGGCCCCAGTGGTGCTGGCTGCTGCCGTGGTGACCCCAGAACTATGGAGAAGCAGCCCGTCTGCCTGGCACAGCAGGCAGCATGGTGCGGTTCCAGGTCCCAGGTCCGCTGTTCACTGAGTGTGAAAGCCTGACTGACTCCACTCTCTGCTCGGACCAGTTTCTCCCCTGCAAAGTGGGCACCATGGTGGCTGCACCCCACATGGTTGTTGAGCACAAATAAGTCAATCACTCCACACGCTCAACAGAGCCCAGCATGCAGTATGAGCTCTCTAAATGTTTCTGGCCCCAACATTCCCTCCCCAAATTCTATTTTTTTCTATTTTCTAAAGCATAAAATTATCTTAGGTACATCTTCATCCCCACGACACAAGGCTTTGAGCTGTATCAAACCGCAGATACTCGTAGAGCTAATATTCTAAGCTGCTATCAGCTTTTTACACTTTAGAATGAATTAAGGCCCTAAAAAACATGCTGAGTTGCCATTTATTGAAAGCATGCCATAATCCAGGCACTAAGCTCTCTCATAAACAATCTCGTGTAATCCTCATGCAACTCTATGAGGCCAATATTATTCCCATTTTATAGATGAGGCAACTGAGACTCAGAGAAGCTAAAGAACTTGCTCAAAGTCCCACAGCAACTGGGTAGTGGAGCCTAGATTTGAACTTAGGTCTTTCTAACTCTATGCGCTGTTAGAAATTAATGGCTAATAGGCTGAGTGCTTTGGGTATAGCAAGTGCCCTGCTGAACTCCATTTTGTGAATGCAGAGACTGATTCTCACATAAATAAAGTAACTGGCCCAAAGCGCACAGGTGAACTCAACGGCACCACCCAGGGAAGTGAGACGGGCTAGGTCAGGGGACAGATATAAAAGACAAATGTTTTCCTTCTTCACCATTATGCACCGGTCCCCTGGAAACAGGGTCTCTGCCAAGCCCCTCAACAGCACTGTTAGCTAGAGTGTGTTATGGACAGGGTGATAGTCAAACAGTCACCTCACCGGTCGCTTCCTCCCAGATGCGTGAGTCCCTCACAGGGCGGTAAGGCTGGCTGAGGAGTGTGGGCCCACACCCCCCTGGCCTGGACTTGACTCCTAAATTTGAAGAACTCAGTATCTTACCCTGGGCAAGTTACTTAACCTCCCTGTGCCTCAGTTTCCACATATGTGAAATGGGGATATTGATGGTGACTGTCTTACTAGATTATAGAGATTTCATGAGTAAAGCAATCAGAACAATGCCTGGCCCACCATACGTGATGGTTGCTATATGTATTATATAACAATAATATAATAATAATAATATATATTATCACTGCCAGAGAGGGGCAGAAAGACAGAAGAGTGTAAGTCCCTGCAGGGTGGGTACTGTGTCTCCATGTGTCATGTCTTTCATTCAAGTTCCATGACAAAGAGAAGGAGGAAGAAACAAAACAAGGAGAAGAAAAACAATCAAAACCCCAAACACTCACACTCTGCAGCTGAACAGAAACCCTCCAGCTGAGAATTCCTTATCAGGACAGCTCAGGCTGCGGAATTCCAGACTTACAGCAGAACAGGGTCCCTGGAGTCAGAGCTGACACACCTGCTCATGGGGCAGCCTCTGTACATGCTGGCCATATGCTCGGCAAAAAGCAGACCAGACAGAGTGGCTTGCGCCCAGACTGGGCTTCACCTCCTTCTTGCTACAGGGTGACATTTTGTAGGGGCGCGGAGAGCTGTCTCTTTAGTCAAGCCAACCTGGCTTACAGGGCCAGCTCTATAATTTGACTTTGAGTTCATGGTTTTACCTTCTGAGCCTCAGTTTCTTTGCCTATAAATTGGGGGCAGTGATACCTGGGCCGCAGCTTTGCTGTGAGGATTAAATGAAAAAATATTTGTTAAACACTTGGCACAGAGTTGGTTTCAAAAAAAGGCAGTGAGCATGGTTATTTATTCTAATTGTTGCTATTGGCTTGGTGGCCTCCCCAGGTTAGATGTCCAGCAGGAAAGGCTACCTGCTGGGTTCCGAGCCTGGCACTGTCCCCGAGTCTCAGCCCCCTAATGCCCCTGAAAGGGACTCCTGGCTCCACGCGTGGCCACAGTGGAGGTGACAGCTGAGAGATCCTCCAAGGAATGGGCTGCAGACTGGAGTTCCTGACTCTCCGTGCTCTTATCTAACAGAGACAGTCCAGAGGGGAGTCAGGCCTGGTTCTCTGAGGCTTCTTCCCCAAACTAGTCCACAAGGCAATTTTGTCACCATCTGCCTGTGGCGTGCTGTGGGCACGGGAAGACCTCTCCAGTATCCCCTCATGGCACCGTTGGATAGATTTCATTATGCATAAGGCGAGACCGTGAAACAACGGGACTGGATTTTTAATAAACAGCAAAAATTTAGACATCAAAATGAATCTTATTTTCTTCAAAGGAGCCAGATACCTGGGAGGCTGTGTGCAAATTCTAAACATTTTGTTAAACTTTCTCCTTGGATTCATCTTTAGGGCCTCTGGCACATTCTTCCTCGCATCTTCAGAGTTAACATGCCCTCTTCTTTTCAGGGTAGATTTAATTTTTGGAAACAGCCAAAAGATATTTGAAGCTAAGCCTGTGAAATAAAAGGGGTTAGTCATGCAGGATAGTAATACTTTAGGATCAAAAATAAGGTTATACTTAGAAAATATTGATTTACCTTTTTTGATGCTGCATGTGTATAATCTGGTTCTGAAATCACTGGCATAAAGTGGACTTTTGAACAAGCTTGAGCAATAGAAGGAGAAGTGGAAATAATTTTGGTTTCCCAAGGCAAATACTTTGATATGAACAAACACCCATTTAGATGTAAGAGATGTGATACATTCATTTTAAAAAGAGTTTGATCTTTTGTTATTCATTGTAGGCACACCTCATATTTCAGCTACTCATATAGTTTTTGCACGAGCAATTGCTGGTTTAAGAATAAGGTCATGTCTTTTGCATGCTCATATCATTCATTTGGATATTTCCTTCCTTCCTTCCTTCCTTCCTTCCTTCCTTCCTTCCTTCCTTCCTTCCTTCTCTTCTCCTCCCACTCTTCTCTCTGAATCTCTCCCTTCCTTTTTTCCTTCCGTCCTTCTTTCCTAGGCTTATGTTGAAACAATTAGACTAAAGGATGATGAAATACTCAAGGTACAAACCAAAGAAGATGGCGACATCTTTATGTGGCTGAAGCACGAAGCTACCCGAGGCAACGCAGCAGCTCAGGTAAAAGCAATCTGCTGTCTTGGAGGTTCTGTCAGCTAAGAGAGACCAGGTTATGCCCTGGTAACAAAACATCCCTAACTTCAGTGGCTAAAAACGATGTCATTTTGTTCCTTGCTCACACAGCATGTCCAATGGGAGTTGTCAGGGGGACTCTGCCCTCACAGTCCCTTAGGGACCCAAGCTGACAGAGGCTTCTAGAACCATCACAGTAGGGCCACAGCCATGGCACATTACAGGCTGAGTCTTAACACTTCAGTGGCACAAGTCACTTCTCACATTTCACTGGCCAAAGAAAGTCACATGGCCATTCTTGACTTCAGGTGGGCTGGAATGTAGTCCTGCTACTCACCCAGAAGGAGAGAGAGCCACAATGTTTACGTGCAGCCCCAAAGATTACCGTCATGTATTTTGGTGCATGCATCAGAGAGAAAAGCAAGAAGCCTCGTGGGGTGCAGGAGAAATTAGATGAGCATTGAGAAGAAGGCCCTGAATTCAGCTAGGAGAACAATAGAAAGTGATTTATGATGTGTTAGGCCACAAGGATCAACCTTGTCTTTTGAACATCTCTTGTCTTTTGAATGGACTTTTAAGAGGTACAAGAAAGGGCAGAAGGCTGGGAAGACGCCCTCCCTCAGCTCCCCGGCTATGAGTTCACTGTGAAGAAAAGCCCTTGATGGGAGCCTGCTAAGGCTGACTGCACTGGGAGGAAGCCTCCTTCCCAAAGGACGGGGTTGGATTCGGCCTAGTGCTCCCGGTGAGCACAGCTGCGTAGGGAAGAGCCTCTGGGGCTGCTAAGTGGGCAGAAGACCAGAGACGGAAAAGAGAAAAGAGTCACAGGCATTAACCAACACGCAGTTCAGAGGCTCTTTTGTGACCAGTCTCTCACCCCTCTGCAGACGTTGTCCTTGCATTTCAGGGGATACTTTGCTGGGAGTTATAAGTATTTGCAGGGAAAGGGGAAGAGAAGGAGATGAGAGGAGAAGTAGGAAGAAGGAAAGGCAATAAGGTACCCACATGAGGCCAGAATGTTAATGCCTGGTGCCCGGGTCCCATCCTTGGGCACCTGCAGTCTTTCCAGTGCAGGAAGGAATTCCAGTTCCTAGTTCTGGAAATGCCAATGCCAGAGCCATTTCCTAGGTGCGTGCATTAACTTTCCTAACAATGGGCACGTCTTCCTTCCCTCATTCAGCACATCTTTGCTGAGCAGCTTCTATGAGCTTCTGTTGAGCTCTGCTGGTGGGGGCCAAGGGGACGGGGGCAAAGACAAATAACATCTCGGGGGGCTACGTCTCAGGAGCTCCCAGCCTCCAGTCCAGTGGTGGAGCCAGCCATGTCGACAAGTGAGGAGACAGGGGATTAGTGCTATAGAAGGGTGCCCTAATGACCAAGGTGTGCAGGGACCTCCATGCTGATCACAGGGCCAAAAAGACAGGCTATAGCACCCAAAGGAGTGGGCATTGGGGGGAGGGGAGAGAGTTTTGATTATTGACCAAGCTCCATCCAGCTCTGGCCCTGGGTGCCAGAGATAGACACACACGCACACACACATGCGGATCATTTCCGGCTTGTGTTAAGAGTTTGCCTTTACATAAGTCCGTGTTCAGGGCTCTGGCCTCCAGTTGGAAGACAAAAAGTGTGTCTAGCGAATCCTTCCTTCTTCATATAAAACATGTAAACTAGGTTTGTCCTCCCACCTGCTAAAGTCCTATATTAAGCGTTACACGGGAAAGTCACTGTTCTCCACTGCTGTTGTCTTGAAGCAACGGCTGGCCCAGATGCTGTTCTGGGGGCAGCAGGGTGTGGCCAAGAACCCCGAAGCCGCGATCGAGTGGTACGCCAAGGGCGCGCTGGAGACCGGGGACCCCGCCTTAATATACGACTATGCCATTGTGCTGTTCAAGGTAAGGATCACTTCGTTCGTACTGAGTTGTGCAGTTCTTATCAGACATCCCGAGCGGTTTCCTGTGGGCGTGCAGGCACACAGAGCCGGGAATTGAAGAGGCTTAGTGTATGCTGCTGTCACTCTTGATGGAAAGGGATGCTGGTGAAAGAGGCAGCGTCAGAAGCAGATCCCTGTCCTCCTTTTTAATCATTAGTCTTATGTTTGGCGCCTGGATTCTCTTTGCTTTTGCAAGAACTGTGGGCTTCTGGAGGAGACACCGTGTTTTAGGGATCGGCACGCGGCCGCCAGCCCCCCCCCCCCCCCCGTTTCCTCCTCCTCCTCCTCCCACCCCGCCCCCGCCCCCGCCCCCACATGGCACAGGTGCTTCGAGTTCGAGTCCGGCAGCGTTCTCCTCCAGTCACAGCTTAAACACGGAGTGTGATCGGCTGGATCCCCTCAGTCCTGCTGATGAAGATGAAGATTTTGGCTGTAAGCCGACAGGAGAGGGGTGGGAAGAGCCTAGGACACGAGGATGGGCACTAAAGTCCCACCTCTGCATGCGTCGTGCATGTCCTTGGAGTCACGTGATCTCGTGGGACGATGGTAAGGACGGCAGATGGAACAGACAGCGTAACCGCTGGGCCTCGGGAACTGTGAAATGCTCGGTGCCCTACACAAAGCAAGTGATAGTTCACGCTGACTGAGCGCGTGCTCCCTGCTTCACGCGGATTAACGCATTTCGTCCTCACAGCAGCGTGTGAGGTGGGTGCCTTAGTGGATTGCGATTGCTGTTTATATGTGGATATACGGAAACAAAGGCACACAAAGGGCTTGTGACTTGCCCAAGGTCTGCCAACTGGTACATTTCCACCTCGGTCTGGGATCCAGGCGGTCTGGCCTCACAGTCTGCTCTTCAACCCCAAACACAGAGACACCAATTCATCAACCTTGGAAAAGTAAAAAGCTGTGGCTTTGGTAAGGAAAACCTTGGACCGTATGCTCATGCCCAAACAAAGCAGCTGCCTGCCCCCCAAAGCAGAGTGTCTTCCAACAAGGACGCGTATGCCCATGGCCAGGCCTAGCTCCAGAGCACAGCTGTGGCCACTCACTCACTGACAACCACGACTCTTGCTACGTTTGTAACCCTCGCTACCGTGCCAAAGCCTGGAAACCTATTGGTTGTTATGGTTTCCGAGTTGAGAGCCCAGACCGTCTCTTTCTGGCTGCCAAGCCAGCGTAGGAAGTGTTTGAACCACAGCCACATGCCAGAGCACTAGTGTGTTTGCTCGGCGGGCCACAGCCAGGGCTGACCAGTGCCGGTCTCTGTGCCGTGTGGAGGTGCAGAGAGATGCCCGAGCCACACCCTGACCTCTGGGGGCTCACACACTGGAAGGGACGACAGAGGACAGGGTCAGTAGGAGCAGAGGGGTGGCACCTGTTCTCCAAAGTTGGGGCTGGTCATTGTCCAAAGTGTGGAGAAGATAAAGTCACAAGGCAGACATTATTTCTGCCCACGGGGATCCTGCAGTCTAGAGGGAGAGGCAAATACGTAACGAAATGACTGTGGGAGTGACATGTTTCCTTGGGGTCTGATTTCCCACGAGTTTTTAGGGGGTTCCTACGTTCTAGCTAAGCTGTTTCTGGTTGGGATGAAGGAAGCCCTTGATCAGCATCTCAGGGAAGATTTTCACCTCTGGCTGGAAGGTCTCCCCAACGATATTCACATGAAAGTGCCCCGTGCGAAAATGTGCTTTCCGTATGTAAAGAACAGCAAGTGCGCTTGGCGTGTGGGGCACCTGGCTTGCCGCGTGCAAAGACTGCGCCAGGGCGGGGCTGTGATTTGTGCAAGGCGGTCCAGTCCGTCCCATCTGGCATCCACACGAGGATGAAGCTCTGCCTTGGACGGCAGCCACTGTGCTACATCAGTTCATTCAGTGGATAATCACTGAGTACGTGCTGTGTACTTGCCTGTGTGCCGGGGCTTTACGTTTCCCTCAGGTGACACCTTCCAGTAGCACTCGGATTCGTGTATGGTGCAAATCTTCTCCCGACACGTTATTCCCCGTGTGATTAAACAGCAGGGACACCGGACACCTCCCCACTCTAGAAATCATATCTGGGCTGTAGTTGCAGCTCTAACTGTGAAGCTTTGGATAAGTCAACCTCTCTGGGCTCTAGTTTTACTCCCTCAAAACAAAGACGTTGGAGGAGATAAACTTCGAGTTCAACCAGGTTCTGATTCTCTGATTCTGGTGTCTCTGCTGCTTTTCTGGAAGTCCAAAAAAATTGTCTGATTCCGCATCCCATTATTCCAAGTATCCTTCTATGTCCTTCTCTCTTCCCTCTCCCTCTCTAATTAAATGAAGTAATGGTGCACCTCTGAAAAATATTCTCATCCTCCACTTAGCTCCAGCTCATGAGTTTTATTAACTAGGTAAGTTAAAGTCTAGTAGAAACTTGATGTGTATAATTTAACCTTTGGTTGGATTCACAGTTTTATTTGGGGTCATTAAAAATAGCAGTCAGGCCCATACTGCGTGTTCCCGTGTCCTGCAAGGAGCTTATGAGCTGAAACATGCGGGAGAAAACAGCACGGTGGTTACAAACTTGGATTCTGGAGTCCACCTGCCTGGATTCCAATCCTGATCTCACTCCTCACTCATTGTGTGACCCCAGGCGAGTTTCTCAGATGGGAATAACAGCAGCACCTTGGGTGGGCTGATGTGACGATTAGATGTTCTAGACAGCGCTGGCCCACGTTCAGTAACACAGGAATGTTAACTAGTGCTGTCTCCATTTACCATCCAGCAAAGCACTTAAATAGAGCTAATAGCTGTATTTGTTGCAAAGCCCTCTCATATTCATGTCACGTGCGATCCTGTCAACCGCTGTGTCTGAGTCCAGGAGGACCCCGTGTGGCACGTGGGGGTGGGGAGCATCAGTAATTCTAAGTGAGTCTGGAAGCAGCTGCAGTTTTCAGCTGGCTCCCCTTGTCTGTGTCAAGAGAGACCTCAGGGACCCCCTCCCCGCCACTCTCCGACCCACCAGATCCCCGCAGGGTCCTTCAGACATCTCCGTGTGGTCTGCAGAGTTCCTGTCTTGTGACAAGAACCCCCAAACCCATGTCGCTCTGTGGTGGACAAACCACCTCTTCTGGAAAAATCTTGATCTTGCCCGAAGAACCTTAGTTTTCTGTCAGTTGCATCTGAGGCTACCGATTCTGCTGGGTTCCGTCTCCTCCGTGGCAGGTCCTCAAGCTGCCTCTGAAGCCACGATGTTCCACCCTGGGGACCTCAGCCAGGACCGAGGAAGGCTGCAAGTGACAGCATAATAACTCTGGACTGTCCAACACACATAGACTGCTTTTTCTGGCTGGCCAATTAGATAATCCCTAGGGGACAGCATCCAGGAGGACCAGACTCATCCGACCTGATTCATGGCTTCTCCCAACAGCACCTGTGGATTGACGGGAATGCAGTTCACACGGTGGGGGCTGCTAAACTGGGAGGTTGGGGTTGGTTACCTTCGTTCCGCAAATACAAGCAAAATAATAACGTGACGGTGGTGGTGGTGGTGTAACAGCACTGCATATAGATCTTTAGTATCGGGTTTAAATGGAGAAGGTTAGGATTTTATTCTTAAATATTTTATATCGAACTCTGATGGATCTGTGCGATGCTGTTGAGTGCGCTCTGGGTTTATTTTCTTCATAGTCATTGCTGTTTATCAATGTTTAGGGTCAAGGAGTGAAGAAGAACAGACGGCTTGCCTTAGAGCTGATGAAGAAAGCGGCTTCCAAGGTAACACTTGCATATTGTCGGGGGAAACACGCCCACACGCTGGCAAGTCTAAAAGAGGAAGTGGCCGGCCTCTTCCTACAGAGCCCAAGGTGGAAGCGGGGCGAGGTGGGGAGGGGTTGTGGCACTGCCGTGATTAGTCACTTTTGAGTTACAATGCATGCAGAAACTTGCCACAATGGGGGCAGCAAAATTCAAAAGCTGAATTCACCTTCCAGTCAATAGCATTCAGGCTGATTTTGTTTGAAGGCTAAAATTATAATCAGAGCTGCCCTGATAACAAGCAGCGGGACTCCTGGAGATTGAATGGGTGTAAATGCCATTGAATTAGGAAAACCAGCAGCCTAATTCCTTTGAAGGTTAACCCTGTCGTGTCCAATTCCCATTTGCTCCTTGTGCTTTGATAACTGGGCTGTTCATCAAGTTTATTGCCAGGTTTAGGAGTTATTTTGCTTTTGTCGTTATGTACACTTCAGTGGTGTCTTCAAGCCAGCTAGTTTCGATACAGTGCTACAGAATAGAGGTTTTAACGCTGCTTGGTGGTGAGGACACACACACACACATGCACACGCAAACACACCTGCCCAGTGCACCACACCCACGTGCACACTCATATGCGTGCATGCAGAGGGGCAAATAAATGGATTTGTAGAAATGTCTATAATTCTACACCTTGACAAGGCATTTTATAGCCCCTTGGGCTCTTGGATGGGCTCTAAGGCTGCTAGTATTTGCTGTAACAATGAAGACCACTAAAGTGACCGTGCTGATTTTTCTTTCCCATTCTTTTTTCCTTGAGGAGCTCAGAGTGTCTCTTTCTCTAGAGCAGGAAGTCAAAGCATGCAGTAAGAGACCCAAGAGGCCTTCCCTCCATCGTGTGCTGTCCAGAGGGCACACGACCCAGGAAGAGGGAGCCCCCCGATGTGCACGCCAACTCCTGACCTCAACACAAATTAGAGGGCAGAAGTAGAAAAGAACTTCGCAGTAGTCATTGAGGGCGTTGGTTCCAGCGCACCCTAAAAAGTGGGGCAGTGAGGGGGTTTCCTGGCTGGTGTGAAATTTGCATCTCCTCACCTAGTGGTGAAGTGATGTCTAATGTGCTATATTTTGGGTGGATTTTTAGCAGAGCTTAGAGAAGTATTGGGAAATGCAGTTTTATGGTCTGGAATAGTCATGTCCTTAAAAGTGTTTATGGGATTCTCATTATTCATTCAGCAAGGACCTATTAAGTCCCTACTCTTTGTTGGGCACTGTGGTGAAAATTGCACATAATTTGATCTTTGGAACTAGCCAAAAGACACACAGAGGCAGATCTGTCGATCAAGCTGGGTGAACATCCAGAACAAAGTGTGAGCATTCATCAGTAAGATAGGATTCCTTGTGGGTCTCCTAAACTGGGACCCAGTGCAATTCCTGAGGAAGGAGTTTTGAAAACGTTTGAGCAGTGACAGGTGCACCTGAATAAAGCTGTGGCCTCCTGAGCTATGCAAAGGCATCTTGCTGTGTAGCTTCTGTGGGCTTGTCCCAAAGATGGTTCTGGCCACTACGGTATGGCCTGATCTATTACCTCATTAAAGTGCATTCTGCAATACTTAGTGAAGCTTACCTTGGCAGCTGAAAAACTCATGGAAAAATGCTCCCATGCCTGGATTACGGCACTGACATGTCCACACGTGACCCTCTCAGGTCGGGTATTGGGAAGTCTGCAGATGTGAGCCCTACTCTGCGTCCTGAGGGTTAGGATTGGACTCTGCTTTGTTTTGCATCATTCAAAGAGTGGCTGTTGTTCATTTGTCAGCTATTTATTGAGTGCCTACTCTGTGATTGGGATAGAAAACCAAGATCCCAACCCTCATGGAGCTTATATTCTAACAAGCTTTGCTGGTTTCTCACTCGAGGTCTTTCTGGCACCTGGATTTCAATGTGCAGACTAGAAGTTTAGCCTTCTGGGAGTCACTGCAGGCCAAGGAGGCTGCAGGCGGGACTCTGGGCATCTGTCGTTAAGAGACACCAGAGACACCCATTCTTCACTGGTGAAAGGGGAGGCTAAAGAGATTTGGTTGCCCACTTAGACTCTGACTTAACAAGTTTACACAGGCAAGGACACTATTTGCCCCCAAATCCTCTTTTCCCCTGCTTGTTCATGGTCTCGCGTGGGTCGGGCAGGAAGTGAGGAATGAGGGTGCCGTATGCCTGGCTGTGCACACAGGTGTCTCACGGCTGGGCAGGAGGCTCTGTCAGGACCACTCGCACCTCTGCAGGACTCTTGAGCTTTTAACAAGCAGGCTCGAGGCTGTCATATGGCCCAGGTGGGAGCAAAGCAGACAGCACCTGTACCTGTAGAATGAATTCAGCAAGAACAGGAGGCTAGGGGCCAAATGGACATGAATGGGCCCTTCTCTGGTACCAGTTCCAGATTTAGACACAGCTCTGAAACCCTCCTTGCTTCTGCACCACCCCTGCCTTCTGCTTCTGCCTCTACCAGTCTCTGTGTTCCCTGTCGGAACAGGGGCGCCCAGCAGGCCCCGAGCGCCTGTGCTTCGCTCAGAGTGCCAGTCCGTGTTCAGGGCAGAGGAATCGAAAGACGGGCAGGCGGGTCACCTAGAACCTGTCCCAGCCCGGGCAAGTTTCAGGCCTGAGCCAAGTGCTCATGAACTTAAGGGCACTGCTGACAGCTCAGGCGGGATAGTAGGCCTTTGGAGGCCACAGGAGCGGGACAGCGGTTTGGGCCAGCAGCACTGTCACGCTGGTGCCAGAAATCCCAGCGGCAGCCTGTGAGAGGAACCTGGGAAGTCGCTGAGGCGAGCTCATGTTTCCTAGCGCTTAGCGTTTCTTTAACGCCATCTGCCCCAAAATAGAGAAAGCGAGGGTTTCGCTCAGACTCAGGCAGAATGCTTCCATAACAATTGCTTCCAAATCTCTTTAGATTTCATTTAAAAAAAAAATTAATTTCTTCCTTGTTCTAAAATTCAGGGATTGCATCAAGCAGTCAATGGCCTGGGATGGTATTACCACAAATTCAAGAAAAATTATGCCAAAGCGGCAAAGTACTGGTTGAAAGCAGAAGACATGGGGAACCCAGATGCATCGTACAATCTCGGAGTCCTGTATTTGGATGGCGTTTTCCCGGGAGTTCCTGGAAGGAATCAAGTGAGTTGGACGTGGGTCAGCTCGGCAGCTGGGCAGCCCGTCGCGGGTGCGCTGCGCCCCGCGTGGCCAGGCGCTGTGGGGGCTGAAGACGCAGCCCCAGACACAGTCGCTGCCCTCACAGAGCTTGGGGGGACCAGGGAGGAAGGCAAGATAGTGAAGAACGAAGGGCGGCAAGTGTGTGGTCAAGGGTGTGACCCAAACAGTTCTGGAGAGGGGGGCAGAGCTGTCAGGAAGGCTTCATGGCGGGGGCAGGGGGGCAGAGACTGAGCACGGGGGAGGAGAGGGGATGAGCGGGAGATGGTGCAGAGATCGATCTTCCTGGAAGCAAAGAAAGCTGAGTCCAGTTAGGGTTGCTTGGTGTGAGACGAGATTTAATAATAAGGAAGGCAACAATGGCGATCGTCCGTGTTTATTGAGCGCTTCCTCTGCGCTAAGCAGGGGGCGAAACACCGTCCATGCGCAGTCTCACGTAATCCTCCCTCTGCCCTGCACCAGCTACTGCGGTTATGTCCATTTTGGAGACTAGGCGACTGAGGCTCTGAGAGGCCGAGTAACTTTGAGCCATACACTTAGTGGAGTCAGGACCTGGCCCCAGTGTGAAGTGTAAGCCCTCTTTATTCATAGCAGCATTGATGATGATGATGATGATGATGATAGCCCGAGCTCATGGCGTTCAGCCAAATCTAGTGAACACCCACCCGACGCCAGGTGCTCCGCTGGGCCCTGGGGATTCAGCAGGAGGAAGGGAGAGTGGGAGGCAGCTGTCATGGGGAGAAATAACACAGGACAGGGAAGACGGGGTGGAGACTGGGGGGTGTTATGATGCGAGGGACACCAGGGAAGGCCTCTCTGAGAAGCTGACCTTGTACGGACTCCTTGCAGATATCTGGGAGCAGAACATTCAGAGGCAGGGAAAACAGGCAGAGCAAAAGCCCCAAGAAGGAAGCAGGCTCGGCATGCTAGAGGAGCGGCAGAGGGGCCAGGGCAGCAGGCGCAGAAAGCAGGAGAGGAGGGGAGGGTGGGAGATGAGGCCGGGAGGTAGCAGACGAGGTGGGTGTGAGACTCGGCTTCTGCTCTGAGGCAGGTGGAAACCGCTGGACAGCCTTGAGCAGGGCAGTGATGGATCCTAACAGAGACTAACGGAAGGGAGGCGTGGGTGGGAGTGGGGGTGGGGGGTTCCTGCTTTGGATCCAAGCCAGAGAGGATGGTGGGTGAGGCCAGGGCAGGAGCAGTGGTGGGGCTGAGATGTGATGGGATCCGACAGGTATTTGAAAGGTCGAGGTGACAGAATTTGCTGATGGATTGGGGTGTGAGCAGTGTCCGGGATGACTCCAGGGTGTTTGGCATTTAAGATGGAGGAATGGAGGTGGCAGTTATTAGGGGGGACAAGACTGTGGCGACAGCAGGTTTGAGAGTGGGGTTGGGGGAGGGAGGGATTGGAAGATTATTCTTTGTTAAGCACTGTGCTAAACCTGGAGAATATGTTATCTCATTTAATCCTCACAACAGCCCTTTGCTAACAGAAGCCACATTTTTCAATTGAAGGCAAGAGGTTTGGAGAGATTAACTAACACGGCCAAGGCCACACAGCTAGTAAGGAGTGGGACTGGAATTTGAACCCAAGTCTGCCTGACTCCAAACCCATGCTTTTAAAAACCATAGTTAACTTCCTAAGAAAAATAACAGTGATCAGTGGAAGTGTATCCGTTTAAGTATTTGTTCTTATTCTTTCCCTCTTCCTCGCTGATGACACAGGAGGCTGTATATTCTTCTGCATTGCAAATGTCTGGTAACCCTCCCACACATCTGGGAGTGTGGATTTTTTTATTGTCAAATTCTAATTCTCACCTTCCTACTGGAAATGCAATTTTTACGCATGAGTTTGAAGAAAGTATTAAGCGAGGTTAGGAAAGCAAATGCCTGGATTTTCACCTGGTGTGACTCCTGATAAAGCCTTCCATCTAGCCTGCAGGGGTTATGTGAGGATCAAATGAGATGGCAATGGTATTCATGGTGACAGTTGTCTGTATTTATTGGGTAAACTTAATCAACGGGATAGCTCAGGTGAGGTCATGCATCCTAGGGGCTGGCTTCTGTGATTGGGTTCCTTTCTGGAACTGTCGCTTCTCCTGGTTTTGTTTTGTTCTGTTTTTTTAAAGCTATCAGAAGTTACAAGCCTGTGATCATGTCAGGCTTTAAGTCTCTCACCACCTCATCTCTGGTGAAAGCAGCCCAGTCAGGAAGACTCGATGTTTTATTCATCTCTCTTTACAGACGTTAGCTGGCGAATACTTCCATAAGGCTGCGCAAGGCGGACACATGGAAGGGACCTTATGGTGTTCTCTCTACTATATCACAGGCAACCTGGAGACATTCCCTCGAGATCCCGAGAAAGCCGTTGTGTAAGAATCTGTCAAATGCTGCATGTGGAGGGAAAGCTGTATCCCGTATTCACTGTGCCTGAGTGTTTCTCAAATGGAGTTTTTATTTTATCAGTTATGCATGCATGTAGTTTAAAAAGCCAAATCATTTGACAAGGCAAAAATTAAAAAAATAATTTGACAAGAAAAAAATAGAAAAGTTTTTTCTGCCCCACCCTACACCACCTCCAGACTATATTTTCTACTCCCTAGAATGAATCATTTTTAACCTTTTAATTATTTCTTTTTTATTTGCCTGTCACTAACACTAATAACATGTTATACCACTGTTTCTTGGTCTACTGATGCCCCACTGTGAAAGGTGAAGATGTAGTTCTTTTTCACTCTGCCACCTCCCACTACTCCACACAATCACACGTCCGGAATCACACGTCCGGCCCTCTTTCGTCTTCCCCAGTTAGTGTATCACTTTGTTGAGATGAAGTACATAGAAAATGATAAGTATATAGAGAGCTAAGCAAATAAACAATAATAAAAAGCAATTAGTATTCCGTAGAAAATAATTTGTGCAAGAAAGAAAAAGTAATCATAGTATACTACATGGCTCAGCTGTGAATAGAATTTCCATGGTCATAAGAATGTAAGCCCTGATACTAAT